CAAGATAAACTAAATTGCTTTCAGCTGGGTGTGGCTGAAAGGAATATGCTGAGAATGTACAAATGTATAAAGTAATGTAAAATATTCTGATGGGAATGGATACCATGAATTATCAGAGCATCTTGGTACTGGATCAATACATATTGTATTAAAATTACACCAGTGATTTTTGGAAGCTGCAGGATCATTGAGTGATGAATTTGTATATGAAATATCCTCTGATAAGCTCTCAATTCCAAAATCTGTATCTGATAGGCATTCTTCATTGCCAGAAAGATCATAGAGGTCAAAGGACAAATTTGAGTCTTCCTCACTTATGAGTTCCTCAGGTGACTCCAAAGAAGTTGATACTGGCATAGTACTCTCGTTTACATAATCACTCTCAAAACCTATAAGCTCGTTAATTATCAAATCTAACCCTTGAATAGAAGTTTCTTCAAACATACCATAGTGTATTTGGTCAGCTATTGTCTGTGATTTTGCTGGTTCATTTAATCTCTCACTTGGCGTATTATTGATAGATCAAGTTCCAACAAAGAAGCCAGACGCTTCCTTGTTTGAAAGTTTGACCTGAAGAGCTTCATATATTTGACGTTGACTTCCGGAATTATCAGCTTTAAGGAACTTTTCAATTGAGTCCTCCAGATTGTGTTTGCTTTTTAAGGTGAGCCATTCCTGCCATCGATGGGTTGGTCCAAGATACTTTGTATCATATGTGGCCTGATCATGCTTTTCTGTAGTACAGTGTCGAACAAGGTTATCTATCCACAGAATTTATCCATCATTGTATAACGGACATTGTAGTCATGAACTTATTTGATGACTATATCTGGATAAATCTCTAAGAAAGCCATTCTGTTAGAAGTGAACTTGAATAGTTTTATCTCAATACTTCTTTGGGATCTCTAATTTCTTATTTCATGGGAGAATTCTTCGATAATTTTCTTTGCCCACAAACAGGGCTTAGGTATGTTTCCGTTTATTCAATATTATTTTAGGTTACTCCCCAATAGGTAGTCACAATTTGTTCTACCTACAAGATTATCTTTTACTTCATATTTAATACCAAACTGACATCTTTGGCTGTTGCACAACTCTTATTACTCTATCTACTAAGTTTTCTCTTTCATAATTATTTACTCTTTCAACTATTACTTCATGCTTCCTTCCAAATCCACTCAACTCTATAATGGATGATATCGATGAGCTTTTTAATATTCACTGACAACCCCAAGGATCTGAACAACCTAGACGAACTCCAGTAATTTGGACTTCACATCAGCATAGTATCTCTCACCAACATTATTATCAGCTGACCACAGCCGCAAGTTTATATAGTCAATCTTTGCATCAGCCACCCTCTTTGTTTACACTTACACCTCCTACTTTTTCCCTTCATAATACTGTTGGCAATTCAACAATCTATGAGGTAAATATTTAGTTTTTCATAAAGAAATTTTCATTCTTCTACTTGAATGTGTGAACTAATTACTAATAATAAGACTCCACAGAGAAAATAAAAATTACTAGCATCCTAGACATTTGTCTCCAAGAGGACAGTAGACACTTTCTCAGAATTCTCAACCACTTTGTGAACTGCTTGAAAAGATTCTTCTGAACCAAGACCTCTTAGAAAAAAAGTTTGATAAGCAACAATAAGATCTCAAAGTTTTACAACATGTTATTCAGCCTTCTTTAGAAATCTGGCAGGACTTGAGAACTGAATAGCCATTTGGATTTCCTACTCAGAAAACCTTTGTCAATGTGAGTTCTTTTATTCATTAAGTATATCATTAGCTGACATATAATAGTCACCAAATTTACTGTGAAGAGATGTTGAGATATTTAACGCTTTAAAGATTTTACGAGGCCAAATACAAAGTATTAATGCTAGTATTCAAAAGTATGATGAAAAGCTTACAAAAGATGAAGGAGTTTATTAAATTCCCCATGCATTTATGATAACAAGCTAACTAAAGAGAAGATTCTGATTCGAAACTATGTGAAATCCATCTTTACACGTCTTGATCTGCGAGATGAGAGATGGTTTGACTATATCAAACTTGGTGTAATAAAACTCTAAGCATCAATTTATTATACTTTTAGACAAATATGATTGATGTAAGAAACGTTTTGTCGAAGGGATCTTCGAAAAATGACTCCTACTACCTTTACCACAAAAAAGGCAGCAGTACATTATAATATTTCCGAAGCTATTTCTGAGGAAAAGAGCAAATTTAAATCATGACTCATGAATAGTACTTTTCGTCAGTTTCCAATAACAGCATTTGCTCAATACCTATTTACACCATCTATGTTTACGGGTCGTACAGAAGAAAAAATAACAGAACTTCAAGTGGTAGCTGCTGAGTGGGTAAGAATTAATTCTGCTCATCATTTATATAATATATACTAATTTTGTTTCAAGCGGCATATTACAAGTCATGACTTTAATCCCAACCTAGCAAAAAATGTCTGGTGGTCAAAGATCTTTCGCAAATTATCTTCCCTGTTTCGGGACGTTGTTGATAATGACTTCATGAGGTAAGTAACCTCTAAGATCATATTTTGTATTGTTGGTACTTATAACTAACATATAACTATACTAATCTAGAATTCATCTCCCGATATTAGAGGAAGAATAAAATCTCTACCAACCAAGTCCAGAAGAATTACAATCCCACAATGGTTCTAATCTGGAGTGTCCACCTTCTGAGGACAGTAACCACCTACATCTAATAGAAGAAGGTCATGAAAGTTACTCTACACTCCTAAGGGATGAGGGGACAGATATGGGACAGATAGAAGATCAAACAGATGATATTTTTAGTGACCTTGGCTGATATTGTACCTGCTTTGTTTTTATTATCTTGTATTTAAATTTTCTGTTCATTCTCCACACTTTGTATTATTCTAATTCCTTAAGCGCATTGGATAGTAATGCATATTCCAAATTTGTAATACAAATAAGGTTTTATGTCCTTATATTGAAGGTAAGTTATTTATAAACTAGGAGATCCTATTTGCCGTTAGGGTTATTTTTATAAAAACCTAATTGTTTGAAAGTAATTTTGCAAACTGATATCAAGTGATAATATGCCTGCTGTAAGGTGATTCATCAATTTCTGTCACTGATTCCATGTTCTGCTGTAGTATGACAGCTCAGGCTCCACCACCTGTCCTCATTCCGTATCCTGGCATGTGACAAGCTAATTACTTATCATTTGATAAGTCTACTGACATCATTTGCCTCTACCACTTCCAGCACCCTCCTTGGATTCTGACAGAATCTGTTTCTGATACAGTGGTGTATACTATACCCGGAAAATGTGGCCTATATAATCGACCCAGAACCATTGCGGTGCCTAAAAATCAATGTCCGACACGGCTTCACAGCCTCACGCCCGTTAGCATTAGAAGGGTGTGAACTAGAGTGGATACGCTTCTGCAAGTCCAAGGGTAGGCCATCTGACTGCAGCTGGAGAATCCCAAATGGGCAGGGCGGCGGGTGACACGACCAATTGCTAGATTGCCGCCTAAAACAAAAATCAACCGCACCAGGGGTGGGGAGTCCGGAAAACAAGACAGCATTTGAGGAGCCTTGCTGCCGCTTTTCCCGGGTGCTTGTGAAGGTGTTTTACACAAGGTGATTTAGTGCAGTAGATGCTCTTGAAGACGAGTTGAAATGTTCGTACCCGCAGCGGTACCACAAGTGCTGTACAATAAGTACTGTATAGTACCGGTATTTCAGATAAAAATGAAGCAATCGATGGACTCGGGTGTAGGGGGGTACTTGTATGGTACTCATGAACTACCATCTTGTTGCATGATGGGCACCCGTGACATGCACAAGAGTTCGCTTCAACTTGCAAGGGGATAGTGGTTGAGGCTCTTCCCGTAAATCCCGTTTAGGGTGATACGCTGGGGATCATGGGTTAAGATTTAGATGCCGGGATCGCCTTACTTATCGGAGCAACCCATTCACAGCAAGAAGCACCCAACAAAGAGCACTCCAGTATTCATTACTCATACAAATTACCCGTCACTGTCTGTCATACCGGTAGCTTCCCAACGAGTAGCGGCACTCGAATGCATGCAATACTGTGCACTCTGTCTTTTTAGCTATGATACCGTACTATTTTATTGCTCGCATCCCTGGCGCTGCTAGTACTGTACTGGTATGTGCTCGAGTACACTCGGGTACCGGTACCAGCGCTTTCATTTGAGGTGTACTGTACCGGTATCGGTAACTGCCCAGTAATTGTGACGATTTCGAGCCTAACTTGTGCGCGCTTTACGAGCTGCTCTGACGGGGAAACGCGTCGAGGAACTGCATAGGGTTATAGGGTTATTGATCAATTTATTGGCCATGGCTCACCCGATGCGTTATTCAAATCGGTTAAGAATGGTGTCTTGCATTGAGTTATCGATTGGCTTACGGGAGAGACATACCGCAGGCTCAGCCAGGTTTGTGCGACAACAATGCTCGATGCACGTCTGGGCTTCGTTGTGCCTTTACTCGAGTACTCGAGTACCGGTACTGTACTCGAGAACAGTACTCAAATCCAGCACCGGCTCCCGGTACTGTAAGAGTACTCGAGTACATCGGTACCTACCGCACCAATTCCGCCATATGGAAGAGCTGTCGCTTTGCTGACACGCAGCAGGCAATGGTGGTGGTGGTGGTGGTGGGAATTGTTAGTCCACCGGTGCGGGCGGGTCCTCGAGTGGAGGCAGTCGCACCGAACCGATGACTCTAAACCGACCATAGCTGGCTGGCCAATGCGTATCATGGTATGCTATATTGGTGCTGGTATTTCTCAAGCACATGACTGCCCTGCGTTTCTGATACCAAGCAGCAAGGCTACCTCAGGTAAACTACTGACGTGCGCAACCTTCAGCACTCTGCCCTCTGTCACTTCCCGTCACCGCTACTCTTGCTGGCGCTTGGTACTGTACTTGAGTACGGTTCTGCTCTCTGCCTTCTGCCCCAGCCGATACCTTCCTCCCCCTCCCCCCCGCTCTCTAACGTCCTCTTGGGGTGTTAACTCTCTCCTAAAATATTCACCCGTCACAATCCTTTGCAGTCGTCATTCGAATCTAACGGAACCAGTGAGAAGTCGAGTTCCTTTTGGAAGTGAGCAAACAGCTCGGTTATCCAGTTGTCTCCCATTCGGTAACGATCGAGAGCGGACTCTGGGCTGTCGACGCCATGTTTGCTAGGAAATTACAGCTTCCTTTGCTAAACGTTACCGATGCCGACACTCTCGTTTTCATCTCGCCCAACACATCACCCAACCCCCCTCATCGGGTTTCTTCAAAAGCCCTCCTTGCGAGTGGATCAGCGGTTTTCAGGGAATTGCTTGGGCCTACATCTCAGCATAGGGCTTTGAGGAAGAGGAGACTGGTCAACGTCCTTCCACAGGGGATCAAATACGTTATCGATCTGAGCCCTCCGGAGGAGGGACCCGAAGCCTTGGATGCTGTTCTAAAGCTCTACTGTCCAAAGGTAGTTCTTGAATGGCAGAGCGGGGTTCCCAACGGAGCATACCTCGAGGATGATGACCACCAATATCAGAGAGAACTGTGGCAGGTCAACTCGGAAAGGCGTATCGCAGACTTGCATAAACACGGTACGTGGGAAACTACTGAGGAGAATTGCGATTCCATCTCAGATGTTGACCTCTCCGAGGTTAAAGTGACACGGCGAGGATCTGGTACTGGAGATGCTGGAGTAGAGCTGATGAAGGGTGAATGGATTGAGCCAACTCCGCCGGCAGCCCATTCCACAAGACGCCACAGTGCAGCCATTGAGAGGATACTCCATATTATTCATGGGTTGGATCCACAACTGTGTACCACTCCCATGTGGTATACCGTATGTAAGGTGGCAGTCCTGCTCAATTGCGAATCGGCCGTTGTTGATCACGCCACGAGTTGGTTATACGCCGACGGGAAATTCATAGGAAAATATCCAGAGATCGTGATGGAAATAGCTAATGACCTTAAAAGTAAGGTCTTGTTCAAGGACGCATTTGCGCTTCTCGTTGGGAAAATGCTCCGTGCCAATGAATCGGATTCTGAACAGGATGCCCGTTGCTTCGACAGAATTCCAGAAGCGGCTCTACCTTGGAAACGCAATATTATGCATGCTTGTTGGTCTTTGAAGGCGCGTGTTAAAAAAGCCCATGACCATCTCATGTCTGTCCGTGAGTGGCTCTACAATCCTATTTGGATATCCGAATATGAAAAACTGGCTAGAGTTCTCTCTATCCCAAATCTGGACCACGAAGTTTACGAGGCCAGCATCGCGCTACGTGATGCAATTACGGATGCAGTATTTGACAGACTGGCGCCTGTCCTCAGAAGTCCATACCTATCCGGAGGCCGTCTGCGCTACGACTCGCTCTTATTCACCAGGCCATTTTGGCAGGAGTTGGGGGGTCTATCCGCTGACTGTTTCTGGGAAATGTTCGATGAGAACGTCTATAATGCCCAAAATCTTTGGCAGGAATGTGTTCGAAGATACAACGTGAGGAGGATAAAAGGAAAACATCCACACCCTAAACGAGCCCAACCTCCCAAAAGAATCTCCGACTTGTCGACGGCACGAGGGGTGATCGGCCGTGGTGAAACGCCTGGGGATGAACTGTGAGTGTGCTGCTCCATCGTCCTACATCGAGGGGGAGCTCGGTTTTTGGTAGCTAATGCCCTCGGTATAGATCTCGCACCGGGGACTCTTTCCCTGTCCTACCGCCGAGGAGGGTAGCTAGTGGTGACGAAAGACGCCCAGATCGACCCGACTCTCAAACACTGCCCGACGATTTCAATGCCCTTGATTTCCAACAAGACGAGGACATACACCCTCCCGGTTACGAGCCAAGTAGCGAGCCCCCACCGAGCTATACACACATTGATGAGGTTAGTGAAGATCTTGTGGCGAAGAGCACCCCACGGGGAATCAGGATCGAAATTGCGAATCCCATCAAGCGGAAGTCTATGTCTGGATCTCCATGGGATGGTGAAGTGGTAGAAGGGGTTGCTTCAAGGGAGGAAATTAACTCTGTTACTCCACGAATTGGCAATAGCAGTAAGCGCAGGTGTTCTCTGGAGAAATCTGGGGATGAAAAGGCATCAACGTGCTCAGTATCTACTGTTGCTGGAAATGAAGATTATGGCGAGCCGGAAGTTTTCCATATATCGGGTGTCCATGAAGCAATCGACGGTCAGATGGCGCCATTGAATTATGATAGAAAAGGGAAAGGAAAGGCGGTTGACTTTGAGCATGTTCAAGAGCCACCCGTAGCAGAGGAGCCCCAAAGTTCTAGTCTTCAGGTTCATCCCAACTCTACAGGGTCTGTAGCGGAGGGTGACTTGCCTATATGGTTAGGTGCTTGGGCGAAGGAGGCTGAGGGTTCACATGATCCGCTACTAGGTCCTTTGCTGGATGAACGTGAACTATTCCAAGACTTATTCAAATACAACGGGGGTGGCAATCCGGAATCAAGCAGTGCGGCAGGCGTTGGAGTTCATGCTACTCTAGATTATACCTTATACGACTGCACCACAGCACAGAATCCAAATCGCACCCAAGATTACGACCGGGATTACAATCCGTTCACTGATCTCGATCTGAAAAGGTATGCAGGAAACTGGGGATCTGGGCAAAATATGGACCAGGAATCGCCACCGCGGGACCCGCCCGAAATTTCTAGCTCTCAACACATCGCCCTCGACATAATATGGAAACAGTCTCTGAGTTACGTGCATTTCATCAGCTCACCGTTCACGGAGATACCCACCATGTACGACCCGACCAGCTGGCCTGACGACAACTTCCTACTCTGTCTCTCCGATGCAGAATGGAAATTTTTGCCATTGTGGACGGACGGCTTGGACGATGGCACCGGCGGAGTTTTTGGCGACCCGCAGCCCCAACCAGTCCCTCAGTCCCCGCCGGAAGAGTGCGGCGAAGGAACAGAAGTTGAGAGTCTTGCGGATAGCAATTATTCAGATTGTCTGCTGGACATGGTGAGCTTGGCTAGTTTTGAGGCAAGGGTGTTTTCGGAGGATGAGGGTGAGGATATGGATAGTGCCAGGTCTATCAGTACAGTGGAGGACGAGGATGAGGATGAGGAGTGGGATGGAGACTCGGACGATACGGAAGAGCTTGGATGGGAAGAGTGTTTTTGACGGCTTTTCGTAGCAGTGAAAGGGTTTTAAGCTGTGATATGGTACGGTGATCGTGGCGGCTGAGACAAATTGTGGAGAGTTTGTCGGTTTTTGTGAGGGATACCTTTCATCTTGTTTTTCTGCCTGAATTATGGTACTACTAAAATATGCCCCCTTTTCCATTCCTACTCTCTTCTCCTTTCCCCCGACTGGGCCTTTTTACCCCATTTCCTTGGTCGGTTCACTCATTTATTCACTCCTTCATATGTCGAATGATTTTTACTTCTTTTCATCTTCCTTATTTGTGGTTACTAGCGCGCGACTGTGGTGGGCAATGCGTCGGGTCCGGAGAGAAATCTACCTTGGAAGATTTGACGATATGATACATTGATTTCGGGAATTTAAGTCCGCTTTGACTACTCGTGCCAAGGTTGTGGCTGCTAGCCACAACCCATGGTTGCTCGCTCTCTCGCAACCTTGGGCACTCCTCCAGAGTGCCTGACAGTTCAACATGACTTTACGGCTCAATATGACTTTGTGGCTTACCATTGTAATTTTGTGGCTTAATCAAACCTCACAGCTTAATCATACTATCATCACTCAAAATAGTATTGTAATTATAATTTTGTAAATTATTCAGACTTCTTGTCAGTTTATATTTCTTAAATTATCTCTAATAGACAATTATCTCTTTCACCATCAACTATGGCTCCTGCAACCTCCTTTGTTCTTCCAAGTCAACATGTTGACCCCTATGCTGATATTGAAATCCGAATCCAGGCTGCTATTACCTCCATTCTCAGCAGTCAAGAACAGTATCCAAAGGTAGCAGCAATTGCACACAAATTTGAAGTACCTGTATCACGACTCGGAGCTCGTCTGAAGGGTGTTCAATCAAAACAAGAACGAGCTGGCCCAAACCGTGTCCTTTCAGTTGATCAAGAACTTGCTGTCTGCCAATATCTAGATCGCCTAGATGCAATTGGAACCAGTGCACGCCTTCAAATGATTACAGGTTGCACAAATGCTATATTACAATACTCCCATAGTGGTCCACCTCCAGCTCCTAATGTTGGTGATCACTGGGCCTGTCAGTTCCTCAATTGCCATCCCGAATACTTCATACGCAAGCAACAAACTATCAATATTGATAGGAAACATGCTCATCAACCCTAAGATATACGAGTATGGTTTTGTTAGGAATACCGAGATCCGATACCTAGGAACCACCCTAGGTAGGGTAACCTCTCCCGAAATCGAAATCTCAGGTCTCCAACACCCCCCTCCGGCCCCCTTATGGGGCCCGCGCGTCATCATACATATCAATCTAAGTTGCGTCCTGTGAGTATTATACCACAGAATCGAAGGTGTTAAAATAACACCGTATACGTCACCGCCGTCCGTCCGACCGGATCCTGTTCGCAGGATATATAAGAGGGGACCTTCGGCTAGGTCTGGGAAGTATAACGGAGTGAATCCGTCAACTACCCAGAAAGTTACTAGGCTTCAAGAACGAGATGTCTTTGGCATAGGCTGCAAGTAACGGGACGTTTTTGCGCAAAGAGATGATGATGAATAGTAAAGGATCTTAATGAAAGACCAATACATTCACATCCACCCTACGATAACCAGAAGAGTCTGGAACTCTTGAGAATACTACCATCGAACCCAATGGAGTTCGAGGAGTGTTACAACTAGGTTCAGGTACATACTGCAACCGAGGGGGTGACTCCCAAACCAGTGACAGTAACCAGAATCCTATTACCCACGGTAACCAAGGGTTACTGACCGAGGGATTATCTACCAACCCTATGGAAAGGCTTCCTGCAGGGAGACGATTGGAGCCAACACAGTTCGACTTGAGAATTGGGCCAATTGTCTAAAAAGACTCTCACCATCGGATAATTACTATTGGAAATAGTATGATTTCCAAATAGTCATATTGTAATTATCAAAGAGGGTGTGATGATTTTCAGGGTCTCCATGTGTTCGCACCTTGGAAGAAAACCCGACGTTGCGAGTTATATTGGAAAAAGGTACATGGTTGTATGTTAGTTAGATGTAGCCCGCGAACACTCAGACACGGAATATAAATATCGAAGTGCCTCCCAAGCTTTAGACATCATCAAGCAACGGAGAAGAGACCTTAACAATATAATATTGTTCTTACGATTTTACTTTACTTTACTTTACCCTACTTTACTTCACTCTTAGTAGTCATAATCGAAACGAGTGAAGTCCGAGCCTTCCTAGACAATCTCCGTCTATAAAAACCAATCTCGATCGGCCTAGACAACTCTGAAGTCTATAGGGTTGTCTCCGCCTAACAGGTTTGAGAAATATCAGGCAATATGTCTGCAGCATCATATTCAGACTCAAGACCAATACAACTTCAATGAAACCAGATTCCGGATTGGCATTAGAAGGGATCAATGGATAATAACCAGGGATCCAAATTGCGAGTGCTATTTGGGAAGCTCTACTAACCATGAGCTCATCACAGTTTGTCAAACTATAAGTGGTGGCGGAGAAGTATTACCACCTATGATTATCATTCCTGGTATTATACATTAAGAGCCATGGTATACTACAACAAAAATTCCTGATGATTACTTAGTTGGTACATCTGAAACTGGTTATACCAATGATAGGTTAACAATAAAGTAGCTAAGCCACTTTAATTGGTTTTCTTTGTAGCAACTTAAGGGTACCAATCGCCTCCTACTTCTTGATGGTTTTGGATCACACTGTACAAAGGAGTTTCTTGATTATTGTGAGCATAATAACATTATTGTGTTCTGCCTCCCTCTACATTCAAGCTACCTTCTCCAACCACTTGATGTAGTTGTCTTTCAGTCCTACAAACATTACCATGCTGAGGCTGTAGAGTCAGCAACACGAACAGGATATGGAGACTTTGATAAGGCAGAATTCCTAGATACTATCGACTCGATTCAGCAGCAAACCTTCCAGCCATCTATGATTCGATCTACCTTTAAAGCAACTGGACTAATTCCCTTCAATCCAGATGTTGTAATTTCGCAGCTACGTGAGGCAGCAAGTCTCTCTTTTCAGCCTGAATCCTTGCTACCAGAATCTGCATCGGACATTCCTTTAACTATTGCTACCCTTCCAGCTCAAAGTGCGGAGCTATTAGGTAAAGAAGGTGATCTACTACCTAGCCTTCAGGAAAGTATGAAAGCTGTACTGCAAGGTGGATTAGTGCTAGCACAGGCAGGTGCATTGGCTATGGAAAATTTAGAACATCAGCGAGCAGCAGAGGAAGCACGAAATGCTAGGCGTCGTGCTAGTAACCATTGGCAGATTCAAAAAGATAGTTCAATTTATACCTCTGAAGCAAGACAGATGGTAAAAAAAACTGAGTATGCAGAGGTGGAAAAGGCTGAAAAGCAGTTACGTAGGGCTATAAATACCAAGAAAAAAATAGAGGGAGAAGAACGTAAGCCTTTCTTGTATGAGATAAAGGCACAAGCAAAACAAAGACGTGCAGTTTCTTACTTACAAAAAGAAAATATCCAGGTTGATAGTAATAGGTATTAAACAAAAAGCAAAGTTTTAGAAATAGGTGTACAATAATATTAATATAATACAGATTAACAATTTTGTATCATAAAATAAAATAATATGCAGTAATACGAAAGAAATTGAGTAATGATAGTATGATTAAGCAGTGAGGTTAGATTAAGCCAGAAAATTACTTCAGAAGCCACAAAGTCATATTGAGCCAGAAACATTACAAGGGTAAGCTACAAAGTCATGTTGAGCCGTAAAGTTATGTTAAACTGTCAGGCACTCTGGAGGAGTACCTAAGGTTGTGAGAGAGCGAGTAACCATAGGTTGTGGCTAGCAGCCAGAACCTTGGCACGAGTACATGTCACGTGATTGCGTCGCAATTGCCTAGTTACTGTTGAGGGTCCCAAAAGGGTTGTCGTGAATCTAGTCTTTAGGTAGGGTAACTCTACCCTAAAGCACCACTGGGAAAATAAGGACAACTCCAATATCAACCATGGTTCCAAGGGACTAGAGTTGGCACCACTTTTCTCACTATAAGTGACAGTTATAAATGTAATAATTTTTGAAACACTTAAGTTTAGTCTGCAATTTTTTAATATGTTTGGTGTTACTATAACACATGAGAATTATAACAAGTAAAGAATCAAGGGTTTCAATGGCATATAACTTATAGTTATATGTCATGGAAGTTTATTATTTTATAGACTTATGATTCTAAGTCATATTGTGATATTATGACTTTTATGCATGACTCACATCTGTGAG